GGCGAAAATTAAACGAAGATACATACCCGGATGAAGGTGGCTATGAATTTTGGGCATAGACTATGCAGTTTTATCAGCAGTATCTGTTACGGAATCCTTCAACGAGACGAAAAAGCGTCGTCCTAAAATTATTCCTTTTCCTGCTTTTCCTTCTCTGACTTCTTTTTCTCTACTGTATTTAAGGCTACATCGGCTGCATCTGCGTTGCTTTGCTTCAATGCGGGATAATATTTATGACACAAAAAAAATCACAATAAAACAAAGACCTGATTAAAATTACAACTAAATGAAATGCACAGGAGTATCTGAAACGGCCGATGAGCCCCAGGCTTACCTTCCGATTTTCCGGAACGTTGACCTTCTTGACGTCCCTGTTGCAGCCGTATTGCTGAAGTTCAAAGCCAGCTGATCGTTTTACCCTGATGCGTTGGCAAGGTGGTGCTCCTCCACCTATATTAATGTTGCCAAAGCGACCATTAGATTACCTGCCGGCGGATCCCGATCATCTTCCGGTTTTCGTTTCCTAGAGTTCGAAGGGCCCGGTTGGTCGGGCCCTCGTGTGGTCAAGCCTGAAAGCTCGGGTAAGCTCGCTAAAGGGCCAAAAAGAATAAGTGAAGAACATAATCTTCTTGAGCTCGGCCCAATGGTCCTTCCATCCCTCCTCTGGTTCCTTGTTGGCTTCGGCTCTGTTAGGCTCTAAACGTACTGTGAAGTCAGAGACAATTGAAACATACCCGGATGCGGATTATCAGCCGCCTTTTGCGCACCTAAACTATGTGGTTTTGTTTTGGCGGACAGTTGAGGACCCTACTATTTATATAAAAAAAAATAGTGTCTGTGTGTGCCGCTTTGCATGCAACTTCCGTCAGGTTGTGCCAGTCGTATCTCAAGAAGGAGAGTAGTTAGGGGCCTGTTTGATACGTCATTACGAGCGTAATGGTCTGGAGATGACTGCACGCATATCAGATATACCAAATTCCCTTCTTTCCACATTCAATTTTAGTCTTTGTTGTAAAATCCGTGGCCCTGTTTGTTAGGAATCAATTAGCATAGACCGGAAGTGGGGGTAGTCTAGATAAAGGAGCAGAGAGCGCATTTTTCACTTTTTTCAGACTCGGTGGGCCGAATTATGCAAAGTGTATACTTTCATTGGTCTAACATGGGGCCAGGGTTGAAAAGTCGCGAAGCGGCTTTTCAACCCTGCAATATATCTAAAAATCTTACGCGCTTCTCGCAGTCTCTCAAACTGTAGTTGCTGCGCCCTAGCATACTCTTCAGGAGTCCGCTGGTAGTGGACGTCTAACAGAACACTACGTTCGCAGCTGGACAGTTTGGATCTCCTACCCGTCCTCTCCTGATAGGCCCCTCTCACGCTCCGTCGGAAAGCGAGGAGGCACAAAATTTGGAGGGCGACGTGGATTCGTGGGATCTTCGTCTAAATATCCAAGGATGCGATTTTTTTTTTTTGCTTTTTCTAGATCTACAAACAATACAAATGCAGAAAAACAAAAAACTAGCTCTTCTCGACGAAAATTACCAGCGTCAAAATAGTTTTCCAGGTTTTCAGATAGTTTAGATACGCTTTGTTTAGTTTTCTCCTGTTGCCAGAGCCGAATTTGTGCTTATACATTACGCTTTTTTAATTGCTGCTGTTATTTATGTCCTTTTTAAAGCCTTTAACCCATGCAAGTCTGGAAACTGCGAGGCAAAGATCGAAAATTGAATTGTTTTAGAAACCCCACCCGCCGCCGCATCCAACATTCCGAAACGTGCCGGATATCCTATCTGCCACAGGCCGGGCAATACTGCAAAAATCATTTTAAATAGGGCTCAATCAGGAAAAAAGAACGTTTGCAACGACGTACTCTCGTCCCCATCGGCAAACCAGTCCTCTGGGTATTGATGATTGTCGCGTTCTGTAAAATTGAAAGCTTTCCCGGGTACGACTTATCAATAGAAACAATAGAAGTCGCTTCGCGGGAAGCAAAAGCCCACCCCGGAATGGTCCATTAAACGGGTCATCAGGGAATGCTTCGCCGAGTTCTAAATCGAATCTCAATGGCCAAATTCTTATCGAAGATTTCACCAGGTTCCTGATTTCTGCGGCGCTCTTGTGGATGTCGCAAATTGGTAACGGTTCCCAGGAATAGGAAGTGGATAAGGAGCATCTTAAATGGAGGGTTTCTAGGGCTACGAAACGGCGCCAAGAACGTTGAATTTCCGGTTACTTGCTGAGGCACTAATTTATTCTGCAGCGCGCGAGCCAGCCAAGGCCAAGAATTCTGATCACCGCACTGCCAATGGGGGGGAAATTCAAGAGGAAGATCAGTCAAACCGCTTTTGATCTTAATATTAATATACCTGGCGAATTTCTGCAGCCGATATATCTCCAGGTTCTTCAGCGCTTCCATAATTTTTTACTCTATAATCACGGCTACAGAATTTGGAAAGTTCTAAAAAATTTCGGCAAAGGCAGCAGTGAAAATAGGCTTGGAGTGCAGGTGTACAGGGTATTTGCCAGCTTTTACCATGTTGTTTGATAAAAATACCTCCCTCGGTCTACTGCGGTCATCGACCCATGGCTCTTCCTCAATTCTGCCTTCGCCGATGGCATGCCGACAACAGACCGGAAGTCGTTCGCGTGATACTCAGAGGGCGCGCGGGGAAACCAAGACACTGGGTTCCATTGCCCAGATTTAGTGTGGCTTCTCAACCTCAGGATTCTTTGTTTTTGAGTTTAGGCTTCCCTTTATAGCGTCTTAACAAGACAACCAGATTTTAACGGTTTACGGCTTAAAAGTTTTAAGTTAAAACTATGCGCCAGGAGGCGTTTTTTACATTCTGTTAGAGTTTTGCGATGCGTGCACAAAGTAGCCATCAGTACTTGAAATTTTGGGCAACACCCATCTTTCAAAAACTGCTGAAAGATCGCGCGTTCGAGAAAAGTTTTTCAAGTTTAATTTTTATCCAGCGCGGGGGGGGGAAATGGGCGACATCGGGCCTTCGGCGCGAATTTTCTCGAAAATCCGAGTCGGTTAGCCGTTTTTGAGGGATGGGATTTGTTCAGAATTTCAAGCTCCATCCAAACAGCCATGTATCCTTGCATCGCAAAACCCCAGACGCACCGGAAAAACGATACCTAAACGAAAATCAAACCGAAGCTGAACCCTTTTGTAAACTTTCAGCACTTGTACTTTGCTATGTTCTGCTTTTTTCCGAGACAATTCGTATCTCTTCCCCAGGGTTCAAAATCCGGCATCAGCACCCGGGTCACTGGCCGCCAACAAAGGACCAATTTAGCCACCCCCAACTTTTGCCAGTCTGCCTGGGCCGGCTGAAAAAGGCGCACCCAGAAACCCACCCCAGAAGTGGAAGACCCCGTCTAGAGGCCACCGCTGTACTACTGCCAACACCAAAAAAGCTACACCAAAAAACGCGCCGGCTGGCCCCTTCAGGCTTCCCAAAAATTTTGCCAGAATGATGATGTCGGCGGGATCGGCGGCGGAACACCGCAAGAATAGCAGCGTGGAGCCGCGGAAGTTAAGTCATTGCGGCAGGAGGGGTGAGATTTTAAGGATTTTTTAATAAATTTTCATAGCTGAACTGGTTTTTGATTTTTAAGGGTCAATCAATCAATTTTTAAGGTGTCTTGAAATGCCCTAGCCTCAAAAACGCCTTCAGATTCCGTCAAAATCGATGAGTTAATTATGCCGCGTGAGCTGCCGAAAGGGAATGTGCTGGCCTTGTTGAATACGTTGTACACCTCCGGATTTGCAAGTGTCAGCCCCAATCAACCGATGTTGACAGGTACGTACGGTTTCTTCAGCGAAGCCTAAGCGCATGCCATGCCAAACCTAAGCCCAAACTAAGCCCATCCAGCCCAAAGCTCAGCCTAAGCCTAAGCCTAAGCCTAGACTTAACCTAAGCCTAAGCCTAAGCCTAGTCTAAGCATAAGCTTAAGCACAAGCCTAATCTCAAAACCCCGGTTCCCTTCACGTTCCCAGCCACTCCCGAGGCGCTAACCGAATTGTCTTGCTTCGAGTACTTCCAATGAGTGGGGGCTGGTGGCGAAAAACAAACCCTGAAGCCCTCCCCGACTTTCTTATCCACAACCCCATGTCCAAATCTAAGATTTACCGCGTAATCCCGCTGGCTAAGAGTACGGAATTTTCAAATTATGCACAAAACGCTATTTTAGGGAGGACAATGCATACCCTATACGCACTGTCATTCATCGTTTATGTTTCGAATTGCTTGTGCGATTGGATTCATGTGTATTTTACAGTTACAGGTTGAGTTTAGCACCTAAGGGTACGTTAAAGTATAGGATACGCCACTTCTTTCCCGCTCGATACATATCTCGTCTGGGCCATGGTGGTTATTGTAGTTTGTGGAAGTATGCTAACCGGGTTGTTACTGGTGAGCCTAAGCACATCCGAAGCCTCAGCCTATGGCTAAACCTAGACCTAAACCAAAGCCTAGACCTGGGCCTAAGCCTGAGCCCAAGCCTCGCCCATGGATTTTATTTTTAGGTGCTATGCATGGAAAACGCCTTCGCACAACGTATCGACATCACCCCGTATCGCAGCGGACTTTTCGTGATTTTGGAAGCGATCTGGGAATGGCTACAGGTATTTCGACGACATGATAGAAGACGCTTTTTAGGCTTTCAACAATTTTCGCGTCGTCTTTCTCATTATGCTACTCCACGACTTTCCGATGACGTTTGTCAACTATTTTTATATAGCATCTTGTAGATGTGCTGGGCCGAAAGTAGGTTTTTGCGCAAAAAAGTTCACACCTACATCGAAAATAAATTCAGCATAAGCAACGTTTTATTCATAAAAACCAAGTTATAGTCTTTTGTTAAGGTAACACCGTGGCCACTACTAGCCTCTGCCGTCTCGACCTCCATAAGCTTACTCTGGCGCTTTGTAATGCTGTATTTTAGGTATCAGATTCATACCTATTACTTTGTCTAACCATTCAGCTATCGCCGTATGATTTGCGCATCCAAGAAAAACAAGAAAAAGGAAGTTCCGGGTGTGGCGAGACATCCTCACGCCAAAGAACACCTCAAAGAACTGATCACCACCAGGTCAGACGGGTTATTTTGAATCGACCGATTTTTTATGATTTTGATGTTTACTTTTTTAGCAACGGCGGTCGACTGGACGAATATGACGAATTCTGGCCGGTTCGCTATAGCCGAATGAAATTTTATGGTGCGGATGTACCACCGGAAACTCCGAAAGTAAATTGCATCAAATTCCTTCAGTTTTTGAGCTTTCCAGAAGCGCCAAGTCCGGTTTGATTTGTCGAAAAATGTGATAGGCAAGAAACGGAATCCTGAGCTGGAAAAAGTACTGGATCTGCCATTTTTTGTATCCAAAAGTCAATTTAGGCAATAGCCACGCTGAAGGCAATTCTGAAATCGATCGGCTGCTCCCTGTTAACGATACTTTTGTATCTGGGATTTATGGCGGTGCTTTGTGCGCCCTGCCTTTATCACTATACTTGTCGAAAAAATAGCTTTCACAACAGGCATCGATTTTCGAGGAGTATTGTAAGGTACGTTGCGAAAAATTTCATCGAAGTTTATAGAAAACATCTCTTTGGTAGCAATTTAAACGAGAAAAACCACATTTTTACCTGACCACCGGCACTGGTTAACCACCGAAAAATTAAAAATTTAACTTTTTGACCGATTAAGTCTTAAATCGGTACAATTCGGATAAGCGGGGGGATTTTAGGCGGGGGAAACCGAACTTTTTTCCGCCCAAGCCTATATTTTTTATATAAATAGTGGAAGTGCTTCTAAATTGTTTATAGCTATTCCTAAACATAAAAACTTTACAAAACTTAATTAAAAAACTTAATTTTAGGTCGAAAAATCGTTTTTTTTCGGCCCAAAAATGACCAAATTTTCGACTTTTTCAAGCGTTTTTCTAACTTTTTAAAAAGTTTTTCCGACACAAATAGGCTTAAATTTTGCTAAAAACAATGTGAAAACATTTTATATTTTATTACTATCCCCACCAGGGCCGACAAAAAAAAAGTTGGGTTCCCCCCGCCCGCCCAAAATCCCCCCGCTTATCCGAATTGTACCCTTAAATCGTATAAATAGCCCTCAAAAGACAGTTTAGCCTTAAAAAACTGGGAACCTGGGGAACGTGGCAAAATTCGACATCCGATTAATTTCAGATACATGTCGCACGGGTATCACTACTTCATTTTCTACTTCTCTCTGATTCTCACCACGCTCCTACTTTCATTGAATTTCACGCTAATCAACTCAGTGCATTTAATTGGGAACAATCAACTACCTCCGGAAGTCAGCCAGGTGGGTTTGCGGCGCAATGATCACGTTTTTCAGCCTGTGATGTCTTCGACAACAAAATTTTTGTAAAATAAAACTTTTCATGTTCAGATTTGCATTTTCATTGACACCCCAACACGATCCATCCTCGCTTCAATAGAGCCGGAACCAATTTTTGGCAATCCCAAGCGCCGCGCCAAGTTTTGCAAGCCGTTATGGGAGAATAGGAATATGGGTATAACCTTTGACAGTCTAACGTTATTGATCATTTTTTAGCATTTGGATTGACCCGAAGATTGGCCGGTGCTTGGCAGACTAGGCATATCATTGCGAACAAGCAGATGCTGGTTGGTTCTCTCTCACTCACTCTTTCTCTCCATTCTTTCTCTTTCTCTTTCTCTCTCACTCTCACACTCTCCCTCTCTCTCTCTCTCTCTCTCTCTCTCTCGCTCTCACTATCGCTCTCTCAGATTTTTATTTTTAGGCCGTCTCCACCCAAATCCAGTTCAACTCCACTATTCGGCGCAATCCAGAGATGATTCTCTACTACGATTTTGGGATTTTGGAAGATTTAGGGAGTGCCGAATTTGGTTGCAGACACCGGAATGAGAGTCAATGGTACGGTTTTGCCGTAAATTTTGATATATTTATTTCCAGGGACTTTATCTTCGACTCTTCGCCTCTGCAGTGGCCATATTTCCAGGGTTGCTCGCCAGCTATCCAGATCCGGGAGAAATCGTAGGTTTTCAGGTGTAAAGAGACGCTTAACGTAGCGTGGGGCAACCTTTCGCTCCACTTGACACCTTTGCGAATTCTGCAAAGCGTCTTGACCATTGTTGGTCGGCATCGTTCTGCTAAGCCCTCCCTACTTTCCGTAACTTGCCAATTAACACTGCATTTTTCAGGCTGCTCAACTGCGATAAGCGACAACGAAACGCGCCCGCCGGCAATCGCCACCGAAATGACCCATAAAATCTGGAGGCAACCGAACAAGCGGGAGCAAAAATTACAAACGCACACACAACACGCTTCCGCGGTCTTTTCGAATAAACGGGTTTATCTATGGAATTTCTGGCCCAAAAAGAACGATGAAAAAACCGCATAAGTTTTGGCCCGACCGACAAAAATGGCGCTTTTCTTGTATAGTTAAGATCCCCGAGCCAAAAAAGCTCCGGTCAGATCCCTGGCATGATTCTGCTTTCTGCTTCCAGGAAAGCAGTTGTAAATTCGGGGCTCACTAGCGAATTATCAGTGGGAAAGCCGGGAGTCGAAGAGGTGATGCAAATCGGGGGGAAAAAGCCAGAAATGGACATTGCTTGTCTGGCTCGCAGGGATATATTGGATTTTGGTGTTGGACAGGGCTTAGGCTTGGCGTAGGCTTAGGCTCAGGCCCAGCTTAGGCTTAGGCCTAGGCTTAGGCTTAGGCTTAGGCTTAGGCTTAGGCTTAGGCTTAGGCTTAGGCTTAGGCTTAGGCTTAGGCTTAGGCTTAGGCTTAGGCTTAGGCTTAGGCTTGGCTTAGGCCCATTAGGCTTAGGCCCATTAGGCTTAGGCTTAGGATTCGACTTGGGAACGCAGAAAGAAACAAAAAAAGCTATTTCCCCAATGCCCAGGCCGCTATACAAACACCCCTCCACCACCAAACAGCATCCCGTTGCGGACAATGAGTAAACCCACACACCTCCAAAATAATTGCAATCGTATCGGGCATGGGGGGCCGTAAAACTTGACTAGGCGTCGATTTCAGATGCCATTATTTGGGGACGCACAAATAGAAAAAGGTGTCTGATTCAATGCAATGGAATCAGGATCCAGAAAATACGTGTAATCGCAGGGTTGGGTAATCTTGGGTTAGATCGGCGTGGGGATGATTCATGAAGTCGAGGTTGCAAAACCTGCAGCTGGATGAAAAGCGAGAGATGGTCAGAGAGAGCGAGAGCGAGAGAGATAGAGAGAGAGCCAGAGAGAGAGAGAGAGAGAGAGAGAGAGAGAGAGAGAGAGAGAGAGAGAGAGAGCTAATTGAGACATCTTTGTGTTGAGACAACGGGTTTGGCCTGGATATATTTTCTTGAATTCATGAAGCTGGGTAATGCCAAAATCGACCCTTTTAGTCGACTGGGTCTCGTCAGTACCGCGCCACGCCAAAATACACGCGAGAGAACTTTTGGATTTCTCGAAATTAGCATCAGTTTGTCTTGTCAATTTATCGTCACCAAGACCCGATTTTTGCGCTTCCTAGTAGCTTTAACGGAGCTTACAATGGCGCAGAAGAAAAATTTCAGACCGAAAATAATAGTAGAGCAAAAAATGTTTCCAGGTGGAAAAACGTTAAAAATGGAAAACCTTTCCGGCCAAATGCTGGTCTCGTCAATAAAACCCACGCAAATCCTCTACAGTACTAATCACTACCACCAACTTTCAAAGACCCACACGGCGCCTCCTTTACGACAAAGCGTCTCCAAACTTCCAGCAATCAAGAAGTCAAAAAGAATTTCCGGTGCAGATATCACGGCAAAATCATCATTTTCCCTGTTCTTCCAGGTCCCACTTCTGCGGCTTGACTCATCAACCGCTATCAGTACTCCCACCCAGAAAGTGGCAGCCCCCACACAAGCCCCAATCGGATTGCCAGTGTCTTCGGCCGCCGGCTTACACATTGGCTTTTCTCGGGCGATTTTTAAGCTGATAAGCTCCCCCGGGGCTTACTATGGAATTATGACGGCTTATTGGGCTGCTGTTAGGCTTAATTTTCGAGCCTAAAACTTGCTAGAAGCCCTGGATTAACGAAAAATGTGATCATATTGCTGGCATCTTGCCCTAAACGGCGCTATAATGTGTATCTCGATTGGATGAAATTCTGAGATTTCAACAATTCTGCGATTTCAGCGATATTTGAGCCATTCTGAAAGTAGAAATTAGACATTCCAGGGATAAATTTCAATAAGGCGCTAATTCCTCGGTACCGCAACGATTTCGAGCAGTTCAGCTTCTCCGCGCGTCGCGTGACCGTATAAAACCGCATAAAAACCCATTTTGCTCCAAAAGAACGGCTAAGTCCTGATTACCAATGCTACCCACTGCTTTAAGATACATTTAAGGCTCCTCCACTTTTCGCGGAATATGCGTGGTGTCGCATTTTTCTGATTCCGAGCCAAAGGAATCAGCTCGCTCCAAATTCAAATTTTTCCAGGGCCAGTCCCCCGGATCCGGGTCACCCCACACGCCAGGATGGAGCGTGAACGGTTGATCACGATCATCCTGCTGGCGATAGCCCTCGTCTTTCTCATCGCCGGGTCGGTGATGCTCGGCGTTGGGATACACAAGTCGAAGCAGACGAAGGATTGTCCAGGTTCGTGTAATTACTACATTACCATGCTTTTCACCCTTACCGTAACCCCTTCTTGTTTTTTTAGTGGGAGCTTTCTATTTTTAATTAGATCGCCCAAAAATCGCGTCAAGAAGCTATTAAAGTTTTGTTCTTTTGTCCTTTTTTTACACTAAACGCCGTCATTTTCGGAGCCACGGACCGCCGCTTATCAAATTCGGCCACTGGTAGTATATTTCTGCGGGCTAGCCGCCATCCCACGCAACTCCCTAAAAATACGATAGGGGTCCAAAAACGCAGACCAATCGATAATCGGTTTCCGAATTTTTGGAAATACGTGTAGTGTACCAAAAAAAATCTTCAAGCGGCGGAAAAGAACGATTTTTCGTAGGGTTTGGTCCTTAAGAGTTCCCCGAACAGAACCCAGAAAAAACTTTCAAGAAAAGGAAAAACAAAGAGTCGAAAAATTAGGATGCAGCCCTTTAAAACAGCAAAATCACAAAATCTTTATTAAAGCCCGAGGGCAACCGGCATTAGCTTGTTCAGTACAAAGCAGCATAATCGAAAACGGGAGCACAACACGAAGAGGTTCATAGCAAAAAATGTGCACAAGCATGGCAGTGAGGCGATATAAATTGACGCAAAAAACGGTAAATTAAAAAGCGCTTCGATTCACATCCCGTCGTACTTTGGCCCTTCACCGCCCTGCGGCGTCACCCAGTTGATGTTCTGCGAGGGGTCCTAAATCGGAAAATCGGGTGAACAAGTTGGATAAGCTGGAAAGCGGGGAGCTAAGCTCGAAAGGCAAGCTCGAAAAGCACGCTCAAAGCCAAGCAAGAAAACTACGTTCAAGACCAAGCTCGCAAGCCAAGTTCCTAAGCTAAGCACGAAAGCCAAGCTCGTAAGCGTACCTTGATGTCGCACGTCTTGCAGTGGATGCAATTCTGGGCGTTGATCTGGAGGCGCATCTGGTCGGAGGCCGTTTCCGAGGGCACGAATTCGTAGACACCTAAAAATTCAGCTAATCGTAAACCCGAAAAACTGACCAGCAGGGCAAAAACGCGACTCGGGGCCGTCAAACTGCTTGAGGTTGATGTCGAGCGGGGCTTTGTCATCCTAGAAATTGAAATATTGTCCTTTTTTCTGAACCGACTGAACTTGTGGGGGGCACAGTTGGGTAGTTATGAGCGTCGAGATAGTGTCCTAGCATTAATGCTCTGCTATTGCTGCTGAACGTCTCGAAATTGAGGTAAAAATTCAGGCGATTCGAATCTCTTCATCGCCAAGCATCTAGCCTATCATTAATGCTCGTAATTAAATTCCTTCACAGCACCTTGAGCGTCAAGTGGCTCGGCTGGTCCTCCTGGTGATTGGTGCCGGTGAGCGACACCGAGTTCAGCAGGTCGAATGTCAGCTTGTTGTCGGCCTTCTTGTTGTAGTCGATGGGCTAGGGAAGCGTTCTTGCTCCTTGTGTTCATCTACCTTCGCCTTGTCCTTCGGGAGAAGCTTCTCGTTGTCCGGCTTGCCATGGTCGAGGGTCCAGGGTTCGAGGCCGCGGCCGAGCACGTAGAAGAGGCCGGTGTAGGCCAGGCCACCGGAGGTATCCTGGGCTTATTAAGTCGGGAATTTGTATATTCTCTACCCAAAGAAGTATTAAACGAGGGCCGCACGTTCCTTGTTGCCCTCAGCTCCTTCATCACGTACGTGTCTTCCAGAGCTTTTGGGTAGGAGGCCGGCTCGATGCCTAAGCACCAAGGTTTGATCATCTACCCGAACGCCCTACTGCTCTTCTCCGGATTCGTGCCAATCTCCTTGTAGATGCTCTCCGCGGCCACCATGCCGCTTTTCATGGCGTTATGGGTGCCCTTCAGCTTGGCCACGTTGAGCAGGCCGGCCGTGCAGCCGACGAGGCAGCCGCCTGGAGGACGAGTTCAAGGCGTTAAATTTTGATGTTCTACCCGGGAACGAGAGCTTCGGGACTCCTTGGTAGCCGCCCTCATTGATGGCACGGGCTCCGTAGCCGATACGCTGTCCGCCCTCGAGTTGGGAGCGGATGGAGGGTGAAGTTTGTAGCGTTGGAACTCCTGGAGAGCGTTTTTAGAGAGAGAGAGAGAGAGAGAGAGAGAGAGAGAGAGAGAGAGAGAGAGAGAGAAGAGAGAAAGCGAGTGAGTGAGGGAGAAAGAACCTGCCTGATACGGATTCATGTAGGGGTTCTTATAGTCGAGGGCAACAATGAAGCCGGATCGAGACGAGTGGCTGGCCATTATCCTCGATGTGGTAAAGGAAGGAGCCACCGTAGCTGTCGGAAGACTATAAAAGGCGTTTTCCAGGCTTTACTGACCCTTTAATGGTGCTCGAAAGGTCAAATTCTAACCATCGGCCATCCCATCGTGTGCTCAATGTAGCCGGGGCGATGCTTGGCCGGGTCGATTTGCCACAGTTCCTTGATGCCGAGGCCGTAGGACATCGGATGGGTTTGGAGCTTGAAGCGGTCGGTGACCTGAAAAGCAGGTAGACGGATGAGAGAGAAACTGCTCACCTGCTTCGTCAAATGCCCACGACATCCTCGGCAAAAATGGTGCACTTGGCGTGGAGCTCCATGCCGCGCTCGAAGCCCTCCTAGGAGTTGTGGATTACATTATAGAGTTCATGCTCAATTATACCTTTGGAGCACCATCCTTCCCAATCCCAACATCGTTGGTGGCAATTCCCTTGACGCTTCCGTCTTCGTTGTAGAGGACCTAATTTCTCAAGGTTTCAATAGCGAGCGAGAGAGCGAGAGAGAGAGAGAAAGATAGAGAGAGCGAGGGAGAGTGAGGCTTCATTTCACCTCCGAAGCAGCATATCCCGGGTAGATCTCAACGCCCTGCTGCTCGGCCACCTGACCCAACCAGTTGACGACGTGACCGAGGCGTACAACGTAATTTCCTAAAGTTAGGGTCACCCGCTACTCACAAAACCCATACCGATGTTGTACAACGGAACACCCGGGAAAACCGGGACCGGAATTCGGCCGGTTTCGGTGAGAATGGCGATCGATTCGGACTAGAATTAAGGGTGAAACCGTCATGTGAAATTTTCCTACCGTAACCTTCTGCTTCACCGGGCTGTCCAACTCCTTCCACCTGGGAGCAGCTCATCCAGGGCTCGGGTTTCGATGACAGCACCGGAAAGGGTGTGAGCGCCAAGTTCAGCGGCTTTTTCGACGACACAGACGCGGAGTTCTGAAATCTCCTAATCATAACGGTTTCGGTAGATGATCATGACTCTGATGCCAAAAATGTACCCTTTCCCTCCTTCTCCGCAAGTTGCCGAAGTCGGATGGCAGCGGAGAGGCCGGAGGGCCCTAAAAAACTCAGAATTCCTCGCGTTTGAAGAATTCTCCACCTCCACCCACAATCACCACGTCGTACTGGTCCGACTCGCGCTTCATCGGGATGTCCTTCCAGCGCGGGTCCTTCGAGCGGTCCTAAAGGTCCTTTATTTATCGAGATCCGGTGCAAGTAGCCAAGTTCATCCACCGTACCTTGACACTATAGTGCGTGGTGGCCCATTGCCCGTTGACGACGTTTCGGCGGACGTCGACTTGCGCAAGCAGGTCACGAGGGAGTGGCGCATCGCGAGGACGGCTCAAAAATACTCTAATTTTTTCGTAGAAACAGAACAGCAGAAAATATGCAAATGAGTAAGTAGTTGCGAAATGGAAATCATTGTGCAAATAGAATGGACGCGAAAAAGCAATGATTGCGTGTCGAACTGTAAAATCCGTAGCAAAACTAAAAGTATAGTAAATTACTATTAGTACAAAATGGAGAAAGTATTTTGTGCTAATTTTTATGCCTTTTTTCAGGAGGTGGTGGCGGAGATTCAACGACACCTGCACCTCAAACAGCTCCCCCGATTGACTACTCCCAAATCAACCTCGATCTACGCCTCAACGCGACACACAGATATTACATGGGACCCGGCACTTGCTGATCCGACAACCGCACAATCAAGGCTGCTGCAGCTACCGTACAGGCCGCGGTAAGTATTAGCTCTAAATATTATAGGAAATTTTTGATAGAAGTTAAACGGCAAGATTTTCCTAAAATCCTGGCAAACACAAACTTTTGCGCAGCTTGTTCAAAAGGGTTTAAAACAAAGATCTGAAAAAGCGTTGCTTTGCTGACGTTAACCTAGACGAGCAGAGAAATCACAAAAAAGCTGCATTTTTGGCGACAGAGCAGCGGTCGGCTGGCCTCTTTTCGCACTCGAACTTTGCCCCCCCCATCCTTGAGTGTTCTCTGCTCAGGTGTTCGTTCTCTGAGGGTCTGCCCGGCCTACAGCAAGGCAAAAACAAGAAAATAACTATAGTTTCGAGGCAAAGATTTTAAATTTAAATTTTCCAGATCAACAAAGCCCTTGGCCCAGCCTCAGTTGCACATGTATTTTTGACTTCGCAAGTCCCGAAAATGTGATTGTGTCTGGGTTCACGTGAGTTTTTAAATAGAGACTCCACGGGCCTATGAAGCCTGCTCAGGAACTGGCAAAATACCCTTAAAATATGTTTCAGAGCTGACTACTCCCAAACCACCACCATCACCGTGGTCGCCTTCACGACGTTGATCTATTCGGAGGTTGTGGATACGCAGTCTATTACGACGATTGGGGGCGTTTTGGACAAGGCTCTAAATGGCGCCGTCGTTTTCGGAACGCCCTTGGCTCAATGTCACGGAAATCCGATTGTTCCTCCCAACGTTGTTACGCCCAGCACTTCAATGGTACGTTAAATACCACAAGGTTCTTCTCTCTAACTCTCGCCCTCCCTTCACTCGCCCCCTCTCTCTAGCGCGCTTCTCTCTCTCTCGCTCACTCGCCCTGGCTCTCCGACTCATCCGATTCCAGGCCCCAACCACCCAACCGAACTGGGACCGCACCACCACCCTGCCCGGAGGCGCTTGGTGCGATGCCTCCACCAAGAACGTGGCCGTCGTCTTCCTCGTCGACATGGCCGTCCCCCAGAATGGAAACTACACCACCAAGGTCACCCAGCTGCAGAACTACCTCCAGAATCTGCCCACCTCCGTCAACCTCCCGTCCACCGGAAACTGGACGAACGTGCAATTCTATTTGGTGCCCTACTACGGATACGCTGCGTATACTGTCGGAAGCTCGCCAGTGACTAGCCGCGCTGCCTGGAATACGGCTGTGCAGTACCTGAACACGTCGCTGAATGTGAACATGATCGATTCGCACAACTTGGCGCAGTAAGTTGGGAGGAGGGAGAGAGAGAGCAGAGAGAGAGAAAGATCTTACTTATTCTTTTTAGCGGTCTCAACTACGTCCAAGAAAGCCTGGGCAAGCAGCTCCCCGTCGGCACCTCCCGTGCCATCATCGCCATCACCGACGGCTTCGACCAGTCCAACACCCAGATGGCCTACGATGCCGCTGGCCAGCTGAAGAGCGAGTATTTCACCATCTCGATTGTCAGTTCCACCACTTCGCTGATGGTAGGCAAAAAAATCAAAAATTCGCAACTACAAACGCACAACTTCAAGGAGTACACATCTTTAGGGTCAATCCATCCTCCAATCCATCGCCTCCGATCAATTCCGATACTATCCGCTAGACGACCTCAGCTGGTTGATCAACCGCGGAACGTTGGCCTCGACCAGTTACTGGATTTGCAACGGTAATTGGTAGATGACCATGCGAAGAACTTGTTTTAGCCTATTACCCGACTCCTGCGCCAATCACCACCCAACCTACTCGAGTACCTCTCGAGCTGTCCACGGCTCCACCCACGACGGTGGTTACGGCGACGACCACCCCGGCTCCAACGACCCCTTGTAGGTTTCAGCGGCCGGCTTGAACTTCTTGGCGTAGGGCTTCGTTGTAAAATAACGTCTCAAACGATTCTCATAGACATTTTGGCAAAAATATTTTACTAAATCGCTGTTTTTGGAAAATGAGGATTTGGCAAGGTCGTTTTTGAACACGCGTAGCTTGAAAAACAGGATTTCGAAAACGAGAATTTCAAAATGCGCGTTTTCTAAGACCAGAACTTCGAATTCGCGTTTTGGAAAGGCTGACTTTCACGTTTTCCCGAACAATCTCCCACCTTTCAGACGCAAACTGCCCGGTCGACATGGTGTTCCTCGTCGACGAGTCCCAGTCCATGCTCGACTTGTGGTTCGACAAGGTGTTGACCTACGTCGACAACACGGCCCGCCAAGTGCTGAAGTACCAGAGCAGCGCCCGCTTTGCCCTCGTCAGCTTCAACAAGCGAATCGTGTACTCTTCCTATAATAGCAGCGGATTTTTGGATATCAATGGGTTGGAGGCGGCGCTGAAGGGTATTGCCAGGACCACGGATGTCGTTGATTACACCGTGGGGTTGAACGAGGTCATCAACATCCTCGCTACTTATGGACGGCAACAGAACGACTCGACGGTGTTGCCGTTTGTGATCTTCCTTACGGATGGGTAAGTTAGGCTGGCCAAGCTTTGGTTAGGCTTAGGCTGCGTCTTATGCTTAGGCTTAGGCTTAGGCTTAAATTCAGGTGGAGGCTTAGGCTTATGCATAGCGTTCGGCTTAATAACAGCCAGTTGTCCCGGCGTCAACTATAACTATAATTTCAATTTCCAGTGACCAACTTGCCAACAGCATGAACAGCGTCCTCCCCATCACCACCAAGTTGCGCAACCAATACAAGGCCGAAATCCTTGGCTTCGGCTTGAACCCGAACCCATACCGCGAGAGCTTGATTAAGGTACTTAGACGCTGAGGGGGCCCTATGACTCAATTTTAGCAAGCCATCGGCGTTGGCAGTCCCGACGGCTACACCCCGGCTCGTTATATCCGCGCCAACACCACGGATTACCTGCTCGCCACTTCGCCTCAGGATACTGTGGCTTCGATTGATTGTCATGGAAGCCAGCCGACTCCTAGCACATCGTGCTACACCGATTTTACCTTTATTCTTGAGTCGTCGTACTCGCAGATCGACTACAAGGGCATGGAGCTGGAGGCGATCAAGGCGGCCATTAACTATTATTCTGGATCAATTGGGGCGTACACGGTAAGGCAAGGCGAGGGAGAGAGAAAGAGCGAGAGAGAGAGAAGAAGAGAGAGACAGTGAGAGAGAGAGAGAGAGAGAGAGACTAACTCGATTTTTTTCAGGGCCGTCTGTCCGTTGTCTACTTCTCCGCACCAGAAGTCACCGGCACTCTGGTCAGCCAGGTCAGTAATGCTTCATTTTTTTTGTTTAGTGGTTCGAGGAATGTCTACGTTTAACGTTAATTTTAAATGTTTTAGAGCACCAATCCGGTCGAGGTCATCAACAAGCTGACCCCTGCCAACATTCCAAATGGTGGTGCCAGTGATTTGGCTGGGTTTGTTTTTATTCTTTTCTTGTTTTAGAAAGACGAATTTGTTAAATTTTCTCAGTTTCAACATCATCTGTTTCAGCGCCCTCAACGTTGCCAACAACATCATCTCGAAGAACTACTTCGGAAACAACCAAGTCGTTATTTTAATCGCGAGAGGATTGTAAGTTTTTCGGTCGCTCTCTCTCTCTCTCTCTCTCTCTCGTTCTCTCCTTACTCCTGCGCTCCTCAGGTACATCGATGGTAACTCGACAAACTGCTGCAATGATCCGCAACCCATCGCCAACGAGTTGATGAAGAAGGCCGCCGTCCAGGGTATCTTGGCGTAGCTTTCATAGAATTTATCGTTTTAGCGGTTATGTTGGGTCTTGTCACAAACAACACCATTTTGCAAGCCATCTCCAACCAGCCGGTGCTCAACGCTAATGCTCTCATCAAGGTATTTTTTCTTGATTTTTTCCGGCTATTCGGAGTAGTGACTGGTCCATTTTAGCTTTTTTAGTGTAACGCATGACATAGAAATCAGAAAACATTTTTTATCTGTTTCTAGGATGGCGACAGTGACATCAACAACGGTGCGGCCATCGCCAAGAGGCTGGACACGGTTCTGCACTCGATCATCGCCAATCAGCCATGCCAGAATATTGCCGATTTCCGTAAGCAGTAGATTGTGGAAACTCGGATATCGATGTTTTTAGCACCGGTCTGCTCCGAGTACATCGACGTCCAGCTGGCCTTCCACGCAAACCAGACTCTCATGCCCAAGGTAAATTAGACAATCAGCCTAAGCCTAAGCCTATCCTAAGCCAAACCGAAGCCAGGTCCAAGCCAAGCCTAAGCTTCATAGGCCTAACTCCAATTTTTCAGGTCCGCAACTTCATCACGCAGCTCCTGCTCCCGGCTCTATTTGGTGGCTCCCTCTCCGACAGGCCGTTGACGAAGAGCAGCACCGTGAACTTGGCTTTGATGACTTTGGACTCCAGCACGACTGTTACCAGCGTAAGCCTAAGCCTAAGCCTACACCTAAGCGCGCTTTAGCTAGCCGACTTCACTCAACTCTACTCTCCAAGCCGTTACGCCCAGATCGTCTCAAACGTCCTCGACAACGCAACGATCAGCACGGTGCCGTATGTGTCGAAGTAAGTCTTGGGGCTCTTTATTCAATTTTTGTCCTGATTTTAGCACTTTTAAAGCGTTATTAAGCTCTAAAAACCTCATTCAGGGTCTACAACCAATCGATCTATAACCGACAATGGGGCCGCCCCTTTGCCACCACCATCGTCATCATCATCTCCGACGCGTTCAGGTATTTGTCCGGATCCTCTTTTAAAATCGAGCGTTATTTCTAGCTCTTCCGATTACACGAACGCCCGTGCCATGCTCGACCGCCTTCAGCCCGCGTATGCTGAAGCTATCCAAATCGGAACCCTGGCGTCGCCGATTCCAGTTTCTGATGGCAATCCGATTATTGTCCCCGATATTAATGAGGCACGGCCTTGTTAATGACAGAGAAATATGCTTCAAAAAGTAGAGAACCGGTTGTAAAGTTGTTTTTAGCTCGACCCACTCTACATTCGCAGCTCCAAGGGATTGGCCGTGGCGCTGGCCAAAGCGGCTTGCAGAACTTTGACGACCTTGCGTAGGTTATTAAAAACAATAACGTGCTGTTTTACAGCGCTATGTAAAAAATAGTACGATTTGATAAATTGAAAACCCAATAGAAATTGAACTTTAGCTCCAAGCACGCCTCCCACGACGACAACGGCAAGGACAACTCCAGCTCCTCTTCCCCGACCGAAACCGAGGTAATTCTGAATGACTGGCTCTCTCTCCCTCTCTCCCTCTCTGCCTCTCTATCTCTCTATTTCTAGAGCCGTCTGGCCCGACATCACCTTCCTCGTCGACACCAGCTACGATGGAACCAACGCCATGACTGACCAGGGCTTCCAACAGGTTTTCTTAAACTGTGGCCCAGTTACCGTATCATTTTTCAGCTGCGCCAATTCATGTATCGCTACGTGCTCGACGAGCTGTTCATTGGGGATACTGGCTCGAGAATTACACTTGCTACTTTTGACGATTCCGTCAACGTGGCTTGCCAGTTTTCTGACGTGAGTTTTTGAGGCGATATCAGCGTTTAAAGTGATTTTGAATTCTTAGGAACCTATATTTTTAGATCCACAACTACTATGACCTGGCCGATTGCATCGTCAACAAGTTTGAGTACTCCATCACCAAGCCGAAAACAAAGACCAGGGATTTGGCGGGGTATGGATTAAAATTTTGGTGAGTTAAGGGAATTCTAGAGCTCTCGACTACCTTTCCAACAATGTTTACAACCTGACGAAGGGCTGGATTCCGGCCAAGGAGAATATTTTGGTCATCTTCACCACTGGATCGTGGGTTTTTACCTAAAATCGCGAGCTTCCGGTTGTCACAGTCCTTTTAAACTAATCGGACCGTATTTTTAGCAATTTTTCTGATAATTTTTTTTGAAAATGGTTTTGATTTGTTGCGTTTTCAGGAATAAAAATAATTAAATAAATCTTAGGTCGACAACGAACGCTTCCCGCGCCCTAGTTCATATGCAGCAGCTTATGGTCCGCACTTTCGGCATCAACTTGGGTGCGAATATGGACCCGTATGAGCTCAGGTATGGTTTTAAAGGCGTAGCGACACCTGGTGGCGTGCAAACTACACAATTAACGCAACGCCTAAACTTCAATCAAGTGAATTTGGTTTTAAAACCCCGTTTTACAGCTTGTACGGTCCCGATTCGTACGGCTTCCCCAACTGGGACGACCAAACCCACGGCATCATGGGCCAGAATAACTTTGGCTCCCGTATGATCGAGTACTTCACCCGGGCCCACCGTCAGCCACTCTCCAACTTCTACGCCGACTTCTTCTTCATCGTCGACGAATCGTACGCGATGAATGGGGTCTTCGACAGCGTTCGCACGTTTATCCTGAACTTTGTGCACCAATTGACACTTGGAGACAACAAGGTTCGGCTGTGGATCGTCCCATTCAACTCGGACGTCGTCCAGGATCAGGTGCTGGCGCAGAATGGCCGATTCTCGGTGGGTTTAACGAGCTTACGCTAGGGAATTAAAACGTAAAAACCGGTTACGTAATTTAAAACTGACCCATCCCTTCAGGACTTCGAATCCTGGTGGAACAACAAATTTGCATACAAGCAGCCTTCCAACACAACTTTTGTAAACATTGGAGCTGCCATTGATGCGGTCGCTGGATACCTTAATGTCACCTATCAAACTGACAGAATGGCGCACGTCACTTATATTGCGCAGTCACCAACGTAAGTTAAATTTGTTTAAGTTACGTTTTTTATGCTATAAGGAGACTTGGAAACTAAGGAATCGACCCTTCAGGTCCACTAGGTCCCGACAGTTACGTTTCACACCAAATCACGCTTTGACACGCGCAAAAATTACCGAATTTTGGGGAAAATTGAGGCACTGTCTAGCTTTGTTAGCACTTGTATTGAGCATTAAATTTATTAAAGCTACGCACGCGCCAGATCACGCGTGCCAGCGCTCATAAAAACACTTTTTTAATCTTCCAGCTTGATAAGTTGTTCATCATCATACGCATGTATTTTGCAGTATCGCGTACCTGTCGAGCCTTAATGATCTTTATCTGTTGATTTTCTCGCTTCTTAGTTTTTGAAGGAGTTTGTCCACACTTCTACTTAATGGATTTGTCGGTTCCAGTGTCACCGGAGCCGAAAAGGCCGCCCAACTGCAAGGCAAATCCAACGTCGCCAACTATGTCTTGCTCACCAATCCCGCCGCCAACTATTCACAGCAGCTGGTCACCGATGGCCGCCAAGTCTTTCGCATGTCCAGCCCGAAGGAGTTGAACAACTGGGTGACGTCTGGATTCGGGCTGAACAACATGAGCCGCTGGTTCGACACGATGGCTATCTGTAGGTTTTGAGGATCATGTTTGATTCCGATTTTGTGTTCGTCTACGGACTATTTTAGTCCAAGAAAACTACCGGGCTTCTCACGAGATGCAACTCGCTGAAGTGCAGATTGATGTGGCGTTTGCAGTTGATCAGACCGCGCTGGCGAATTCGGCAGCTTTCGAGGCGGTAAGTAACATTTTGTTGCTTGCCGGCTCTCTCTCACCCTCTCTAACTCGTCGATCTCTCTCTCTCTGTCTCTCTCTCGCTCTCTCTAGGTTTCTCTAACCTAAGCCTAAGTCTATGCCTTTTTCAGATCAAATCCTACATTGCCGGTTTCGTCAGCAAGTTCCACATCTCCAGAACCGGTACTCGATTCGCTCTTCAGTCCTTCAGCGCTCGACAGGTATGAAAAAATATACACATTCCGTCATCCTCAAAATTCAGGTCGTCGAGGGAGGATTCCACTTCATGGACAACAACGACACTGACACGGTCGTGAATATGATCAAGAATCTCAAGTACATCTCGTCGTCCGCTTCTGCCAGCTCGGATCTCGTTACGTAAGTAGTACTAAAACGTAGGGGAATAGCATACGCAGTGCTTACTATTATTATTCCTTTATTTTGAATCCCTTTCAGTACCCTCAGCCAAATCAACGACTTCTTCCTGCAGCCCGAGAAGGGATGGCGAAACGGCCCAACCTATGTTGTCATTTTCACTGGCGCTCAATAGTACGTTCCCTGTGCAAAATTCATCGTTAGACCTAGATTAAAAGTATAATTTAAGGTGAAATTTGACTTTCCAGCTACTACAACACCACGGCTTCCATCGCCGACGCCCTGAAAATTGGCCGAAAGGCCAGAGTCGCGGCCGTCGGCCTTACTGGCTCCCGAAAAGACTTTGTGCAGCAATTCCTGACCGGAAAATCGCAGAATCTGTACCCGGTAGGTAGTAGAAGAAAACTTTTGCTTTTAAATGTTGACTACTTGACGTTACTATGATACAAAAATTCGTACTGCGGCAACAAGCCAACAGAGAGTTTTTACCCAAATAGCGTCCATTTTAGGTCGTTGCGGATCCGCTTTCCTTGGTGGACGGTAGCTTGCCGGACAGGGTTATCTCGCACGATATGACCAAATGTAAGGAATATCGCCGCAGCCCTAGCTTTCTCTATACCTCGCTCTCCCTCTCTCCCTTGCCCTCTCTATTTCTCGCTCTTCCTCTCTCACTCTGTCTTTATCTCACTCGCTCTCTAAGACTCCTCTCGTTTTCAGGGTACGAAGACCTCGTCTACCCCGTGCTCCCTCATATCGATGACGTCCAAGCCGATTTCATTTTCTTGATCGATTATTACAACACGCTTGGAGCCGCAGGATTCGCCCAGGCATGAGTGGTCCCTAAAAAAAGCTATGTAGTATTTTAGGTCCAAAACTACCTGGTCGACCTCATCCAGAACCAAGTCACGACCCTCGGCGCCACGAGTCGATTGGCCGTCGTTGCTTACGGCTATACTGTAAGGAAATCGCTATCATACGATATTAGGGGCACCTTTTAGGAGGTGATGGCCAGCTATTCCTGGGATCTCAACGCCTTCCACACACAAGCCGATCTGCTGAACGCCGTGAAGACGATGTCTTACTATTCTCGATACGTGGACAGTGATCTCGCCAGGTAAGAATCGTCGCGAAAGTCTTAAAAAATGTAATAGCAGGGGTGTAATCATTAGTGCGTAGACGGTCAGGTAATGCGGAATCGTGCTTTTTTCTTGTATAATCGAAGCTTTAGCTACTAGTTTGGCATCTTTAGATACAAATTAACAACTTGTACACTTAGAAAACTCATTATAGAGCGGTTGAATACTTCTTCCACAACGATACCTTCGGCTACGACGCCAACCGGCTGACGTTCGTGGTGGATATTGCCGTGTCGCCGACGTAAGTATCCCTCTCTCTCTCTTCTATCCCTCTCGCTCTCGCTCTCTCTCTCTCTTCCTCACTCGCTCTCTCTCTCTCTTTCTCTCTTTCTCTCTTTCTCTCTCATTTCCTTTATTACCTATCGGAAATGGTTGTCCGAAACTATCATTGCCACCTTTTTTTCAGCATCGGCCGCCAAATCCCCTTCCCCACCACAGTCCAACTCAACCGCGAAACGTTCACATATGCCTACACATATCCCAACGCCACAGTGTACCCCTATTTGAATCAGTTCCTCGGCGAAGAGGCATATGAGGTACGGTAGCTGGGACAGGGCTAAAACCCTAATTTTAGCACCTCAACGTCGGCTACCAGTTCGGCGCCGTCGACGGCATGTTCAAGCGATATGTCGTGGAAGGTGGGAATTGTATTTAAACACATTATAGAGTGTTACTATCACCTGCAGTGCTACTAAGCGTTCTGACCATTATTTTCATTTTTCAGCATGGCAAGCCTGGCAAGCCAACTATGGATAAGCCGCCCCCTAAAAACCTCTTCCTACTGCCTCCTACTTACTGATGGGTTCAAAAACATGATGTGATGCTTGTGTGATTTCCGTGACTTTTGTGTGCATTTTCGTGTTAGAATTTTGCCAATAAAAATATACTTAAAAATTGGAGGAATGCCCGAAAAGAAACCAGGAACACTAATGATATCCCTGTCGAGATAATGAGACACGCAACGCCACCGCACGCGCAGCGCTTGATACCAAACGAGTGTAGAAGAAGGGTTATGCATTAATGAACAGAACGGTATAAAGGAATTTAAGTAAATAGAGCCCTGCGTTTATTTCATATCTATCTGGCAAATCGACGGGTAAGTCTTGGTAGCGGCGGCCATGTACAAGTCGGAGTATTTCGACTCAGAACCGTGCATCATATCCATCGTGGTAGCTACGTACGGCATCTCCTTGTTGACTGAAAAAAATCATAGACTCTGGTTAAAGAATCCAAAAAATTATGAGCTATACAGCCTGATATGAGCTAAAAGGAAAACGACGAAAGAAAAACGTACATTTTGGCGCGGCTTTCGGGAAGAAGGCCTTCTTCCACTTTGCCAGACAGGCCTTGTCTTTCCCGATTTCTGGATAGGCGTACGCCTAAATCAATAGGTTTGGTACCATTCAAGTTGGGTGGGGGCACATTTTTTAGGTCATTTTTTGGGTATTTTTGGTTCTTCTTCTTAGTTTTTCTTTACGCTTATACGTAGCGTAGCTTAGTATTGGCTTAGCTTAGCCTTAGGTTTAGCTTAGCTTCTGGACGGGGGTGAGGCACCCTCGCCTTGGCTTAGCTTTTCAAAGGTTCGCTGCGTTTGGCTGGACTTAGATTTGAATTGATTTAGAATTTAGTTGAGCTTAGGAGTAGCGCATTGCGCTTGATTAGTCGCGAAAAACTGACCACGCAGCCCAAAAATGACCTAAAAAATTTTTGTCCCCCCCCCCCCAAATTGAATAGTACCGGAGGTTTACTAACACGGTGGAATGCTCGCATGAAGCTTTGTTAGGCGTAAAGTATACTGCAAAAGTTGTGCAGGTAACTTACGTTCATTCTCATCAGTTGTGTGAATGCTAATTGATCCGGCTTGGGGGTCGGCGTTTGCTTTTTCAGGGGCGTCAAGAAGCATTTGTAGACCGCGAGTCCGTAGCTGAAATATAACCTTTAAAAGGCTAGTTCAACTTTTACTTGGGCCGGTACCTTGGGAAACTATGGACGTAGGCACAGTGCGCCCGAACAGTCCCCCCATTACGACAGCTATTAGAGATCGGAGAAATGAGAGAGGCGCAGACACAAAAACGCAGAGAGGGTTCGACTCCTGGCCGCGGAAATTCTTTTGTTTTATTGGCTGAACTAGCCCTTTAATGCATAAAATATCGGAGTTAAAGAAAGTTAGTGGGTTGGGCAATAAAGCGCGAACAGTAATTACAAACTGATCGCTTACGCGCAGTCAAAACCCTGCGTCTTCGGCGGCTTCAATTTTGATGCGCATTTTGTGACGGCCTCGTGGAGGGGATCCAGCGACGCCTGCCCATTTCCAAGCGCCAAATCGGGGGCTAAAACTGATTAGATGCGATATCTTGAGCTTAATATCGTACACAGGTGTACAAAGGTGCACTCCGTCCCGTTTGTCCATTGCATCGCACCGCTAGGCAGGCCCACAATGCCCACCCAGGCCGGGTTGCTTCCTAAAAATTGCATTAACTGGTTTAAATTTTAAAGGGGCCGGAAAGATAAATATCTAGCGTAAACCTTTTGGTTATATTGTATCGATTTTTAAAGTCCAAAAACAATGAAACGCATTAAAAGCGAAAAATCGATTCATTCGATCGATACATTCTCAGGTTGAAATGAGACTTTTCAAGTTAACAGAATTAAACACCGGATTTAAATTACTTTTTATTAGTTTTAAAATAAGAATAGGCTGTTTTCAACTTACCTGGAAAAACCTTGCGCAGAGCCTGAGCACTCGCAGGGCTGGCAAGCTGAATTAGTTGTCCCTTCAATGATTTGCAGTTTTTCTGCGCGTCCACCCAGGTCATATCTAAAGATTAATAATTGTTTTCAAACTATTTGCCTTATTCGCTATGTTTTAAAAGCATCAAAATGTAATCTATAACAATTTCAAGAGTTCAATGACCGTATTTATCGTATTTTACGCCTTCAGAATAGGTATGTTTATTCAAAAATCTATTTGACAATTTAAAAAGACGATTCATTCGCTTAAAAGAGCTACTTACTTTTCGCGACAAACTGCACGCAATAGTTCTGGCCGGCCAGCGCTTTGCTCCCACTTGGGCAAGTCGGCGCCCCGAGTACCGTAGCCAAAAACAGCGAAACCAACGCGTACCTCGGCATCCCGTGCAAACGGACTGATGTGAACTTTCGGCCCTCAAACTCGACAATAAAAAGGGTCAAAGACTCGTTAAAATCGGATTTTTGTGGCGCTCCAAAAGCCGTTTTTCGACCCCGCTGCCCACACACTTGGGCTCTATTTTGCACCCCGGTTCTCGGGAGGTCATTATTGCAGCGTGGGCGTGCTGATCAGGGTTATTTTGGGGGTGCAACGCGCGTTGGCACGTAGGGTGACTAATTTTTGACGTTGACTAGTCTGTATTTGCTAGGTATCGGTTTTTTTGCATTTTCTATCTCAATACGTTGTTACTGTCTTTTAGGAAAACATGCAACAAACATAAGCATTTATGAGTTACCGCACGGATCGAACGGATTCGACGCTCGCCACGCAGCCATTCCTCGACAACCATTTGTGCGTAGACCCCAAGCAACGGGTCGAATTCCTCGTCTTGTATCTGCAATAGGGGTCCTTAGGCATTACCGCGGGCAGAGCTTTTTTAGTATCTATATTTACAAATATAAATGGTGGAAGTGTTTCTAACGGGTTTTTTTACTATTAATAAACGTGAAAACTTTAAGAATTTCTATTAAAAAATATCAAAAATACCAATTTAGCGACTGAAAATGGGGGCACCAGGAACTTTGCAAGAATATAAACCGCACCTCAAAATCCATTGTGGGCAGCTGCAGCGCAATATATTCCGGGAACGGTGCTTCGATGTTTGTGTCGAAATTTCCCGCCACCGCTTGGTTCAGCCATCCCAAGTCTTCTGGATCCGATGGGATCATCCGTACAGCAAGGATCAGCAGTATAAGTATAAGTGTTTAACCTTACCACTGAGTAGGAAGAAGCCTTGCTGAAAGTATAAGGAGCAGCAATTGCTAGACGTTGGAGCAAAATTTTGTAGATTTGGATGTGGGGCGCGGTTGATATATTTGAACGTCTGGACGAATAAATGATGAAAACTTTATGCACATTTTTCGCCCTCTTTCTTTCATTTTTCGAGAATTGTGCGTTCTTTAACGGGAGGTGGGAAAATTCTGATTTTTGGCCCAAAAATAGTATAAATTTGTAGAAAGGAAATAGCATAGTCTTAGAATTTTTCGAGGTTTATATCATTTTTCACAAGCAAAACAATTTTCTCGATTTTGCGTTATTTTTGTTCTTAGGGTGATAACTCGCTTATAACTTTATAAGGAAGAAGCCTTGCTGAAAGTATAAGGAGCAGCAATTGCTAGACGTTAGAGCCAAATCTTGTAAATTTGGATGTGGGGAGCGGTTGGTATATTTGAACGTCTGGAGGAATAAATGATGAAAACTTTATGCACATTTTTCGCCCTCCCTCAGGCACGTATGCGTCGCGTCACAGCAATAATAGCCGCCCACGCATCGTCGCCTTGGTTCCACAACGCAATAATAACCCGGCTCGAGGATCTCCTTAAGCGAACAACTCGAGTGGTATCCGACCTTAAGCCTACGATTTGTAGGCAGCGTCGAGTCGTGGCGTCACAAAAAAAAGCTCCGGCTCCTCGGCAATCCGAGTTGTCCCAGCACGAGTCCTTAAACAAAGAGTGGTTTTCACTGCAAAGTCTTTTCACATTTGATGCAAATTCCAATCGGGACCAAGCCGACCTGGCACAGAAATTGTCGCCGATTCCGAACCTGTTTGCCAAATTTATTGAGGAGCCCGCTTCAAAAAGCTACAGCTATTTTCCCTGCTTTTTCAAAGAGCTACCTCACGGACCTGTAGCTCAAAACCCAGTGATTTGACTAATTTTTCAAGCGTTGCTATCCCAGCCGCATGGCTCTGGCCTTCTGCCCCACCCCGACAAAGAAAGGTTTTACATGGATCTCGAACTCGTAAACATTTTGACTCCTGAGAAAAACAAGATTTAGGCTCACCCCCCTCAAGCAAGCACCCAATGTGAAGACGCTGGCCAAAGTATAAAAATACAGGACGAAGCGCATGGTTTTGAGAGAGAAGAAAAAGGAAAGTTTGGGATATTTATACCAAGAGATGTTATTTTATGCAACAGACCCCCCGCTTACCCGGTTAAATCGTTGAACGCGCAGGTTTTTCAGGTACGATCTGCGGAATCCTTCGAAAAATCTGCGAAAAACTGTCTACTGTTTGCTCGATTGATCACTCGAATGATTGTGCCTTGGCTAATTTCTCTTAGTCTTTTTGTCTTTCTCTGTCTCTCTCTCTCTCTGTCTCTCCGCTTCGTCTCTCTCGCTCTCTCTCTCTCTCTCTCTTTCTCTCTCTCTCTCTGTCTTTCGCCCTCTCTCTATCTTTATCGCACCGCCTAGACGGCGCTTCAAATGGATGCAAAATTGGCTGTAGAGCACTTGCAGCTAGTTTTGAAGATTATTTTGCGTATTTTTTTGCGGATAAGCCGGTATTTTCAAAGTCACGTCAGATAGAAAATGACTAGGGAGATCGTAGAAAAATCCAGAAAGGCCAATTATCACCACCGTTTTCCAGCGGTGGCACGTTTTCAATAGGCGCCACTCCGTGACCTTTATCTTTCTTACCGACCTCTTTATCGACCTCTATGCGGATTATCTTTTTTATTTTCCTACTTTATTTATGTGACGCACTACGCAAGAAACCCATCGCTAAAGTGCCAGTACGTCCAATCCGTCAGGTGGATCGTGACGGAATCTTGGATCGAGAAGCGGTGCTGAAATTCCAAAGCTTCAAGGGGCGGTAAGATGATCAAATTTCCTTCAGGTTCTACCGTAACTGCACAGATGGTAGTGTCGATTGTAAGAAGCGGAAACGTAATTTTGCCCATAATTTGAAATGTTTGAAGGAAGCGCAAACGAGCGGAAAACAGCTGGGACATGAGTAAGCTACCGCGCGATACCATCGCTAACTTCAAGATTTTAGTTATGAGCTTGGCGAGACGAGCTTCATGGACTGGTCGGACGAGGAGTTGAAGCAGGTCAGTTAATCTACCGCAAGCGTTGAAAAGCATCTAACAAAGATGGCTTTCCCTACTCATGCACTACCGAAACCCATGCAAAAGCATATCGACCTCAGTGAGCCGAAGTTTCTAAGAAAATCCAGGGTAAGTATGAACGTAATTACAGGCGGATTGATAGTTCCAAAATGTCTTGATTTTAGGCAACTCGGAAAAACTACGATTGGCGGGTTACTTCGGCCGTGAATCCCATTCGAAATCAAGGCCGTTGTGGTTTTTGTTGGGCTTTTTCGTAACAACGCTAGCTAAAAAAGTCGAATTTTATTTAGGGCTGTTGCGGCTTTGGAAATCCAATCCAATTTCAAGAACAAGCGAATCGGGGACAAGCGGAGAAGCTATTCTGAAGAGGTAAACGAGACTTTTCACAACAAGCGCTTGAATTTTTACCATTTGCACAACCGAATTTCGTCTACTCAAATTTTTTTGGTGCAGTTGTTTACTGTAAATTAGAGTTTGCGGCTTACGAACCATGTTTCTAGTTTTTCTAATGGTGCTGTTCTTTTCCAGTACCTCGTCGACTGCAGTATGAGCGAATGGGGCTGCTCGGGTGGGTGGTCGCGTTTTGCGTTAGAGTGAGTTGTTTGAAGGATAAGCATGAGATGGCTTAAGATAGCTACCTTATTTTCATGCTTTGATCCTTTTAGATATATTGAGATGTTTGGGATACCTCGAGGAGCCCAGTATCCATACGTCAGCGGTCCAAAGCGCTCCCCGGCCGATTGCAACGAGACTGTGGTTTGAGTTTCTCTCCTGTCTCTCTCTCTCTCTTTATCTCTCTCTCTCTCTCTCTCGCTCTCTCTCTCTGTCTCTCTCACTCTCACTATTTTGAATGGAGCGTTGATTAAATCCCAGTATAATCTTTCAGAACGTCGAATACCCAATCTCTAAAGTCGAATTCCTGACCGGAAATGTGAGCCGAGCAATGGAATTTGTGAGGAACAAGGGGCCAATTATCGCCTGTAAGTAGGATTTACGCATTAATTAACCAACGTATCTAAACACAAAAAAAACCAAAAAAATTATGTGTTCCAGCAATGTACTTCTGCCGAGATTTTCTCTACTACAAATCCGGAATCTACGCAGGACACTGCGATCCGGAGGCCACAAACTACATTGGAGGGCATTCGGTGGCGATTATTGGATACGGTAACAGACCTAAATTTGAAAGAAATGCGCGTCATTTAGGAACCAGTCGGAAAGGTGTTAACTACTGGCTGGCCAGGAATTCATGGGGTACTGGGTGGGGCGCAGATGGGTATTTTATGGTATGTAAATTCGGGGCATCGCCAAAAAAGAAGAAGCGACAGAATTTATCAGAGAAAAGTTTATTTAGATAAAACGCGGCGCAAATATTGCATCGTTCGAGACGTGGGAGCTGTTGGCGCCGGAGGTAAAAATTATCCCTTGATGACGTCGATCATAAATTTCTTTTGGAGGAAAATTTTTGACGTTGACTAGGCTGTATTTGCTAGCTGTCGGATTTTTGAATTTTCTAACTCAATACGTTGTTACTGTCTTTTAGGAAAACACGCAACAAACATAAGAATTTATGAGTAACCCTCGAAATTCAAAAGAAACAAAAAATATGAAAAACTGGTATCAGCTTCTTTGACTTTCGCGCAAATCAATAGCATTCCGGGCAATGCTTGATCGCCGTGGCGTTCTTATGAGACAAGTAGATGACGAACGGGAGCAGCAGGAGGCGGAGTACGGAAAAAATAGTATAGGGGTTTTTTTAGCTATATTTCGGGTTCTTAAATGTTTGAGAAGGCGATCGCCACACCGAACAACTTACCGTCACGTTCCTTCTCCAAAAAGTCCAGGGCTGACGCACACCATGCGGCAATCTAGAAATATAGAAATTGAAGCAGTCAGTATAGTCTGGCCTCGCACGCAAGACACGCAACGCATGTCTTGCTTACCTGGCCGCTTCTTACGATATTAAAAGACTGTCCGCCAGCTACCCGACCTGCCCCCATTATGGCTTGGCACAGTTTTTTACGACCCCATTTTTTTGATGTCATCGTAAAGAGCATGTTCGAATTAGTAAAGCTGCATAGTTTTGAAAGTTCAAAAAGTTTATTTTTATTATACTTCGCCGCCCACCCGGGGTGGGTCCCCCCTTGGGGGGACGGAGGGGGGACTGGGAGGGGGGACCGAGGGGGTCCCAGGGGGACCCCCCACCCCTCCCTTGGGTGGTAAATACTTGCTGTGCCGATTTTCGCCGGGCCGATTTACAGTATGCCGATTATTGGTATGCCGAATTTTCGCTATACCGAATTTTCGCAATGCCGAATTTCGCTATGCCGAATTTTTGCTACTCTATTACTAATATTCTCTACTAATATTAATCGCTAAGATCGGCTGAGACTTTGCGGTGCGACAAAAAATCTGCTGCGCCTACGGGCCCTACGATCTGCCCGAGTTTTTGGAAATTTCAAGGTTCACCCTAACTTCTAGGCCCACGATATTTGGAAAAATAGTAAAAAAAAATGGGGAACATACCGCTTATCAAAATTGGTATGGCGAAGGTTCGGCATGGTGAAAATTCGATATCGTGAAAATCGGCATGGTGAAAATTCGGTATACCAAAAATTCGGCATAGCGAATTTCGGCATAGCGAAATTCGGTATAGTGAAAATTCGGTATAGCGAAAATTCGGCATGGCGGAAATCGGCACAGCGTGTTTTGATCACCATTTTAGAACTAACTTTAATTTGACAATGGTTCACGTGGAAAAACCATTCACAACTTTGAAAATTTTTTTCAGTGGATTTTCATCGAAAATCCACGATTTTGAGCGATCCAATAACCGATATTTTGGATTTTTCATAACGCAAAATTGCAATATTTATATTTATGAATTGTCGAAAACAGATGAGAAACATTTAATCTACCTATAGAAAAATTAGACCCTTAGCAAAAAAAGATTGTTTATAGTGGGCGGTGGGGGGGGGGGGGAGAGGGGAGGGGGGGGGGGAAGAATCCCCCTGGGGGGTCTCCCCTCGGTCCCCCCTCCCAGTCCCCCCTCCGTCCCCCCCAAGGGGGACCCACCCCGGGTGGGCGGCGAAGTATAATTTTTATGGTTTAAATGGGTGTCAAAGTTGCCGACCACGAAAAACTATCTTGGAAGTTACTGAATAGAATTGTCTGAAACTTTCAGAATACACCTATTTTGAACTGGGGATCGTTTCTCTAATACATTGCGAAGCCTGAAAATGACCGGAACATGGTTAAATAGTGTACTAGAAACAGTTTTTCGGGATTTGCGACTATGCGGGCGATCGAGCGCCACTCATACGTGGTAGGAAAAGATGCGCGACATTTTTCTGCGTCGAATGACGTGTCCATTATGCGGCGCTCGGTCGCCCGCATATCTTAAAAATCGCGATCATTACGCCCAAAATGACGATTTTTAGTCGAAATCTGGGGCGGGCAGGGTGAGAGAGTGCGGCAAGCACAGAGGACAGAGATGGCTAGGGTGGTCAAGTTGGGGGCTCTCTGGCAGCACCCGACCCGCTCCACCAGGACTGCTGTCTGCCTGCCTGGACCCTCCACGTCGCGCGCACTCTCTCGCCTGTTTGGCCTCCGAAAACCCGCAAAAATCGCCATCTTGGGCGTAATAATCGCGTTTTTTAAGATATGCGGGCGATCGAGCGCCGCATAATGGAAACGTCATTCGACGCAGAAAAATGTCGCGCATCTTTTTCTACCACGTATGAGTGGCGCTCGATCGCCCGCATAGCCAAAAATCTCGAAAAACTGTTTCTAGCACGCTATTTAACCATGTTCCGGTCATTTTCAGGCTTCGCAATGTATTAGAGAAACGATCCCCAGTTCAAAATAGGTGTATTCTGAAAGTTTCAGCCAATTCTATTCAGTAACTTCCAAGATAGTTTTTCGTGGTCGGCAACTTTGACACCCATTTAAACCATAAAAATAAACTTTTTGAACTTTCAAAACTATGCAGCCCTACTAATTCGAACATGCTCTTTACGATGACATCAAAAAAATGGGGTCGAAAAAAACTGTGCCAAGCCTTGTTCGGGTCCCTCGCGAACGGCCTTTTAATCTGTCACTTAGGATGCAAGTCA